TAAGTCTCATGGTCACACCTTTGCTACATGGACCACGTCTCTGGTAAGACCTACTGTCAACCAGCTAGCTCCAGTCTCTGCCAAGTCTATCCTGTTTCTATCCCTAATACCAAGTCTATGACTTCTTATGTCCTAGTCTCTTGTGTGCCAACCCACAAATGTCGTGGCACTGCTTGCTTTGATTAGGTTCAATGTTGAACTACAAACATTTATGGTTTGGCACACAGATATCTATTATTCTGCCTTTCAGCACACTGTATACTTTGTTTATGGGCACTTTTTTACATCTCATATGACCTTTTTACGGAATTTCCAGTAGTGGCTCGCTCGTATAACATTCTGATCTAGTATTTGTAGCTAGTTCAATAACAAGGCTATAAATTTTTCAGCAGCTTCAAAAGCAGAAAGCTTTTTTTATATTTTTATAATGCTTTCTAGAAGAAAACCAGTATAGCTGCATGAATATAGGGGTGATTTCGTAATTAATTATTAGCGAAAAAGCAATAGGCAAATCATAAAAATGAAAAGTAGACAAACAAACCAGTTTGCTTATTCTGAAAATAGGCATTATTATGTGATAGATAAGTAGCTGACTAAAATTGCTCTACATAACACTTAACTAATGCAATACAAAGCTTGCTTCAAAATAAAAACAGATCTCTATTTCCTGCAAAGAATCAAATCCAAGACTTTTCTCAACCTATAGCCTTATCAATTTTATTGCATCCTCGGACTAGGATTAGACAGGATATCCGCAAGCATAAAGAAAAACAAAAGCACAGAATTGTGTGAATAGTTAAATTGGCGATATGATGTAAGGTTGAGAGGAGATGCAGCACTAGAAGCTTGGACAGCAAATAGAGGCGAGGAGTGAGGCCACAACGGTTTAACAGAAAATTGGTAAACGGGATTGCTGTCACTGGTCACTTTGCTATGTTTTAACTATCCTAAGTATGGTGCCTCTTACTGACAATACAGGAGAATTGTCTGGAAATCTACCAAGTCAATTGTCCGACGCTGGAAATCATCATCAAGGACGCAGAACTAGGTCACAAAAACGAAGTCAAGCCAACACAATAAACATAAAATGCCTATTCACAGGAAAAAGTATCTCCGAAACGTGATCACAAAGTGACTTGAAGATATCAGTCACAAGCCGCTAGTGACCGATCATTCAGATCACTTGAAATCAATAGTGGAAGTTTGGGAAATTCAACTTTGAGAACTTAAGAATAAAAGAGTCCTTGGTGGATTTATGTTTTAGGTACTGATACTTAAGCCTCCCTAAATTATATTGAAAGCAGAATTGTGTTTAATTTTAAGATTGAATATATCGAAAATCTAAGCACCTAAATCAAGGTGAACGGCCTGTTTAGTCTTGCTTAGACTTAACCCCCACCTCCTACGTGTATCGAAACAGGATTATAGGTAAATAGATTGTTCCCTTCATCAGACATTTGGCATTGAATTGTAAAGCAGTTAAGAAAATCAAGAAAAAGCGGAACTCACTATTAGCCGGGAATTCCTAAATGGTTATAATGGTATTGTCCTTATCCGAAGGACGAGGGACATATATAAAATATAAAACGCCTGCGCTCTGCTACGTGATATAAGGTTGTATGCTTCGGGACGAAGAGAGAAAAGGAAAAGTTGTATCACCAAGTGTCCTATTTAGAACCAAATGAATCACAGTACAGAGCTGAGAATAGAAAATAAATTGTTAAGGGCGGCGCGTAATAGAAGGGCCCAAGCTCCACGGGTTAGAGCGGAGCGGAGAATAAAATATGACAAACTTGAAGACCAGTTATTCTAGGTATCTATGACGAAATCATGACCGACCTAGATACTATGTTTGCTGTTTAAAGTGCCCCTGCGTAATTTTTCATATCTTCTTCTGATTGGTTCAAAAGATAGGCACAATGCGGTGCCAAGCTTTGATTTGTCGACGTGAAATAAAGAGTGAGGATATGTCATACTTTCACGTCGTCTTTGGGTCAAAAGGTGTTGAGCCATGGCTCGTACTTAATTCAAAAAATTAAACATTGTAGTAAGAAATTGTAGGGATAGGCCACAACATTATCATATCACTTTTGGCTCTAATTGAAAATACATTTTTATCATTCAAAGAAATTTTTAATTAGGCTCGTTGAAGATTCTTTTCTAATGGACTAATAGTGGGACTTGTCCCGATAAAATTAAGCGAATGACCAATTTTTCATTGAGTTTTACTTTACAATGTTTTTCGAAAGGACGTCCACAGCCGGGAAGAAATGCAGCTTCAACCTCGCTACACTATCTTTTCAGCACCCCGTGATGGATTCGAGAGGTGAATGTGTGAGTTATGAGGCAAACATGTTTCTTCTTCTTTTAGGAAGCTTGTGCCGTACGATAAAATAAGAAAGGCATTTGGTGATGGTAATAGGCATGATCTATAACAAGAAATTAATTGGTGAAAAAAAACATCTTTTCCGATTCGTCATAAGCAGTCCTGAAGTCAAATGAGCAACTATTCAAGACTGGTATACTTCGACAACAATCAGTCTCCTGATAGGATATGGACAAAAACTGCTTTTAAAGGCTATGGGGAAGTTAAATATAAGCAGAAGGTTAGGAACTCAATATAAATTAACAAAAGCACCACAATCCTGAATAGAGTGAAGAGTTTCATGTATCGAAAATTTCAAGTGATTATGGAATAGCAACTACACAATCAACACAACCACAAAACAAACATTAGAGAGTAAGGTCAACACTACATGACACATATGAATTAATAAAAATTCTCAATGCTTTGGCAGCATATAAGAGAAACATGAAGTAGCTAACCAGATCATCCGGTACCTCAGTAAGAACCCAAAATTGCGCATAAGAAACAGGTATGATCGCAACTGCTCATCTTTCTTGGTTAGAGTAGTCTGTAATTTTTCGTAAATGATATTTTCTTATTCTTACGAAAAAAGAGTAAGCTGAGGCATTTGATGCATAATCTAACTATAACATTTACAAGTCATCTTCCTTCGATTTCTGGAGAGGCAATTTAACGAAGTGTTTCTAATTAAACTTTTATAATCGAAGGTATGAAGACCAAGAAGGTATGGTCTTTTGTGTGGTCGCAGTCTCCTTTCGTTGTATATTAGTTGTTGGACCTTGTTTTAGCAACTTGGTCTTTTTGGTAGGAAGACTTAGAGGAACGCACCTAGTCCGGAGTCCATTGTATGCATGATAATTTCCAAAGTCGGACCGTGGACGTGGTACATTTTCAGCCAAATAGCTCTAGTCTCCACCGTGTCTATCCTGTTTCAATCCATAATACCATGTCATAGACTTGGTATTAGGGATAGAAACAAGATAGACGTGGCAGAGGCTGGAGCTAGTTGGCTGACAGTAGGTCTTACCAAAGACGTGGTCCATGTAGCAAAGGTGTGACCATGAGACTTACTCAGAGGCTTTCGCCTTGAATTAGTTACCCAGATGCAGGGGAGGAGTCATAATGCCTCGAGTAGCACAGGGGGGTGGCAGAGGTCAAGTGAAATATGTGAATCAGGGAGATAGCAGATGGATCTTACAGGGCAAGAGGGAGACTTTGATAAGACCTAGGGAAGGAGGACTGCATAACAATATGGCAGACTCTGATATACCCTCCTAGCACAAGGGTGAAAGGGTGAGAAAGTTAGCGTGGAGTATGAAGAATTGTCATGACAACCTCTCAAAAGGGCACACCATACTCTATTTAAATAAGCAAGGTTAAAATGGTGACAGTGAAGGTGTGATAGGAGTATATAGGAAATGTGAATAGCTCAGGGCAGAAGGGAAGATACCACAACTGTTTAGCCCACGTTTGGTCAAATGATCGGCTCCACTTGTCTCTTTGACTAGTTATAGTGTGGTGCTAAGACTGGCGAGACTCACTGACGATTGCGACTACGATCTAAGCGAATCGTCTTGGAATGTACCACGTCCACGCTCCGACTTTGAAAATGATTATGCATACAATGGACTCCGGGATAGGTGCGTTCCTCTAAGTCTTCCTACCAATATGACCAAGTTGCGAAAACAAGGTCAGACAACCTCTAACCTTGAATACTAACTAAAAGGTCAAATGAGATAAAATTGGAATTAATTGTCCAAAAATATTTGCCTTCTTAATATAGGTCCACCATAAAAATCGTGTGGCATTCAATGCATTCAATATTATAAAGGGACTTCTTGACATTTTAGGCATAAATCTTTACTAGACGCATCAATCTATGTAGAGTGAAATCGCCTACTATTGCTGATGTATACATTTGATTAATTAAAAATGAGCTACATTTCTGATCTAATTTACTTGCCTTCATAGAACGAAATTGCTAAAAAAGTATAAGCATGAGCTAGATATTCATTTAAAACATGAAAAAAATCAAGAAGCCATAGGGCTCTAGAGGCCCATCTCCTCTTTGCAAATATGAGAATCTCTTTTAAAATATTTAATAAATTATAAAGGCAAACGATAAGTCTAATTATCACTTACATCCGTCCATAATTCCATATTAGCTCGAGACTCTAGTGAATTCAATGCAAGTAGAGCTTCGCGTTGTTGTGTCCCATTGTAAAGTAAGAAATGCACTGAGTTCAGAAGCTCAAGAAACAGCTGCGGTGTAATTCCTGTGATTCGAGTGACCAGTCGAGCTATAGGGATTCGTGGTTGGACGGCATTCTCGTGGACGCGCAACGGATATTTTTTGTGGAGCTTTTGATGCATTAAGCTTTGTCTGAAATGGCGGTTGGTGATGTGATTCCAAGAGCCGTCACTCTTTAGATTGGACAACTTCCCAATGTCATTTGCTTTCGTCTGATCCGTATCTGCTTCGCCATTTACGTCAATCTTATTCGAGGTCTTTCCCTCATCAAACCAGGTAGAGCCCATTCCCTCTTGGCTGCATTGCTGAACTATGTGCTTTTCTTCTAATGCAGTTTTACTCAAAGGTTTTTTATTTGGGTCTCGTCTATGTTTCTCCCTTTCTTTGGAAAGTATGTGCTTCACCAAGTATCTTGACTTCCTTCTATTTGCAAGTGCAATAACCGGGCTCAATCGCCGAACTTGACGCAAGCTTAAACTCTGTCCTCGACGTGTCTCCTTTTGGTACTTACTTCCCGGCAATCTCAAGCGAAGTGACCAGCTTGCTAAGTCAAGAGCTAATAGATGAAGATCCCGTCCCCGACTCAATTCTACTGTTTTATCGATAGGCCTCATCTGTGAGCTCCGCGGCTTAAGTCCTGCACGATATTTTTCCTCTTTATTCAATGAAGGCTGCCCTGTATTTGACGCTACTGTCACAGCAATTTCAGATAAGTAATCAATGGTTTCAAATCTGCACGTTTCTTTAGGTTGATCTACTTGATAGAGGGGGGGACGTTCACTCAGGTGTTCTAGATCTGAAAAGGCAGACGATGAGCCAGAACTAATTGGAGGGGAGGATTTTAAAAAACATTCCAATTTTTTATTTGAATATTTAGTCTCTAATTCTTTGCTCATTGAGCAGATGGAGCTATCAATTTCCTTAAAATCTGGGATAATTTGTATAGCATCATTGAGTTTTAAAGTTGGAGTCCCCTCACTACAAGCCTTAATAAAAAAGTTCATGCAATCGATATCAACACCCTGAATGTTGTTTAGATCTGTTCTAGAGTCGGGCACTTTTATGTCACAATTAGACTCATGAATAGGAAATATGCTGATAATGTCAGAAGAATATTCATACTGGTTACGATCGTCCAATTGAGACAGAGCTAATTCAGAAGGAAGCGTAGAGAGCTGTAAAGACAAATAAATATTTTTTGAAGAAAAAGAGCATTAATCGGTAATATGGATGAACAGGAAAGAAGTTTATTGATCAAGCTTAATATAGAAAGTAAAAGTATTCAAAATAAATGATTGAAACAAAAGTGATCGGTGGTGGTGCAATTTCAACAATTCTCATATATTTGTTAATCTGCTTTCTTTTTCTATACCGTTTTATATATAAAAGGAGAAATATAGTTAAGCTTATTTATTAACTAACTTTTGTAAAAGTAAAGCATAAATCAACGGCGAAAATATGATATAAAATTTATGATTTAATTAGTTGTTAGAGTCCGAAAAATAAAGTTACATTTTAATTGAAAGCAAAAATTAAAATGACTTAGGTTGTCACTGCCTAATGCATATCTAAAATATATTGGAAAATGAAACATTTATTTTCCATGGCTAATGAGCAACCACAAGCTGTTTCGTGAAGAATTCTGGATTTAAAGTTGAAGACTAGATTACTTGAATACTTTGCTTATTTTGGGGGAGAAAGACCTCTAGATTTGCACAGCGTTTTCTTTCTGTCTGATAGAGGTGCTGAATGATGTCAAACCCAAGTGGTTTGCACACCCACCGAATTGATAGGAAGAGAAGCTGGGTTTCGAAGAATCCCTTAGGAGATTGATACTGGCATACTTTTAATTTTGTTTGAGAAGGCGGGTTAAAGGGATTCGTAAATTGGCCTTATCGGATACCGAAGGAAGGTTGCATTGGACTTTTGTCTATTGAAGTGTGCAAAGGAAACCTCGTCTTACCGTCCTACGACCCCAATGACTCCGTGCTAAACTTTCGTCCGTCATTTGACGGACATCGTAAGGGCCATTAGCCATTAATAACGTATAATCACAAAAAAACACTAGGCCAAGAAAAGTGGCCTACTGAGATCCTACTTACTTCTCATATCTCACTTTGCGATCTTAATAAGGCGCTGCATGATTTGGTTGGCTTCTTTATGCTTGTTTTGACTTCGTGGATGCGTGCGCATTAAGTGTGTCCAACATTCACGAGTTGGTTTGCAATTTTGGGTCCGAAACTAGACTCCGATTTAATCATATCTTCTATTACTCAATGCCTTCTGTTCTCTCTCAAAGTCTATTCAGGAGCCAGCGATAGTCCTTACTTAATTTCCTACACTCATTCCTATTGCCAGTGAATTTCAATCGACTCCCTGACCTTTCACTTACCTGTGAAGTCCGTAAAACGTTGGGATTTGGATTACTTTATATGGTGTCCTGTAGTGAACACATGTGCAGCCATGTGAGATTACTAAATCCATAAACATTTTTCGCCGATTTTGTGTTCCGATAGAAAGCTAATTAAGAAATATCTCTGGTTGCTGAATATAACTAGAGAGAGATAAAGAATGGGAACAAAAAGAGCCATTAAGCTAGTTTCTTTTACGGGCTTATTAAATCTGTGTAATTACCTATGATTTGTAATTACCAAATCAACCTCTGTGTATACTGGACAAGGAGCAACTATAGACTTCATGAATAATAAAAGTCTATTAAGGTTAATTTTATTGATGCTTAGAACATTTGCGAAATGATGATGTGCTAAAAGCTCCCCAAACAATGATACTTTTTCAAAATTAGTGCAGCTAAAAAAATTTGAATCTCGTTCTTACATGGTTCATGCCTGATTTGATTGTCCATGTAGTATTATGCTCATTTAACTTGAAAATCAAAGGAGAACCGGACGTTATAAATTTAGATGTTTATATCGATATGATCTTTAATTAAGCAGAAATTATAGCATCTTACTCAGTGAAAATAGTTTTTATAATAATAGGTAGTCTACATTTTGGGCGAGAAGTTTCTACTCATTACATTTCTATTTGTCATTCAATAGAAATTCCTATTCTCATAAAATGGAGTCTTCATCTAGTGAATCATGGAGTTATTAAGAAGCTAATTTGATACCACAAAAGCCTCCATTCCACAGTTCAGTTCAGCGATTACATTATCTCGTAACTTTAAACAGCAAAGCAAAATCAAAACGAAAATATCTAGGTGCTAACATGTGAGAATAAAGTATTTAAAAGAACTCTATGATTATTAACTTTATCTTCTCATACATTTCTTTCAACTTCCATACTCATTATCCGTGCAGTAGGTTGCACAAATTTTGTTTTACTTATGTTACTCAAAACAAGTTACTATCAATGTTCACTACTTTCAGTTTTGAAGTGTATATACCAAGTGTTTGAAAATAGCCCACTTGTTCTATAGTTCGTAATAAAGAGCGAGCAGTGCTCGTAAATCTTTGCTTTTATTTTGCTGTCTATATTGCTAAGTTATTAAACTGTAAGGCAGGACAAAATTAAATAATGCGAAAACCGATGAAAGCATATAATAAGCTAATTACTATGATTATTCGCTCAATCTAAATATGTGGCCCAATGGACAAAAAATGCAATTAAGCCAATCATTCGTGAAACAATGATCAAGTCTAGGTGAAAGAGTTTGACCTTCTTATTGCAATTTGGTCGTGGATGGCTAATTTGCGCTTTGGCTGCATGAAAGTGAAAAGTTGGATGAATTCCACAAGTTTTTAAATCACATGGACGAAAAGACCAGGTTTACAATTGAAATAAAAGAGTAAGGACCTTTACCTTTCTTGGATTTAGAAGTCATTCGCTCAAATGAACCTCAAGAGAAGATATTCCAGAATGAAGGCAGACATCATTAGAGCAAGAGTCCATACTTTACGAAATAGAGCAAAAATATACTAAACCAAAAGAAGAAGGTGGCCTGTGCAACCTTAGTCGCTTTTTTTATACATCTAACATCACGATCTTAATAAAGCCTCCCCTGATTTGGTTGGCTTATTCAGCCTTACTCGACATGTTTGCAAACGAGTGAAGTTAATTTCCCGAACCGAAAATGCGTTCGGTGGCAGCTGCTTCATCACACAAAATCTAGTGTATAATCGCCTAATGTTGAATCATGTTTGAGCTTGTGTTATTGTCTATTGTGGGTATTTTCGTAC